CCGGCGGGAACTCATCTCGCTTGCTTGGCTTCCGCTTCGCAGTTTCCTTCTCGCTTTAGAAGCACAGAGGATGAGCCGGTATGGCACGGCGAGCCTTTGGTGTATGAAGGGCTACGACCGCTGGAAGGAGCGGGCATCACATCTACAGGCAAAGCTTACAGCGGACACCACATCTTTATGCCACCCGGTACAAGCGACACGGGCCGCATGATGGCCAAGGATGGTCGCCACTTTACCATCATGCGTTTCGACGCGGACGAGCACCAGCCTGGCCAAAAGGCCAAGATCTACACGCCGCACTTTGTGGATAGCAAAGTGCAGGGCTGGGAGGGGCGGATGCGAGCAAAGACGCTTCCTAATGCTCAGAGACCTTCTATTCAGCATTTTGCCAAATTGACAGGAACAGCGGCGAGCGGTAGGATCTTGCCTGCTGGGCTTGCCGAAGCGGCCAGAATACCGCACGCGGTGGGCAGAGCGCACGAATTGGAAGTGGGCGGCACGCGCATCACCTCCAAAGACTACTACGATGTGACGTTGGACAGCATGCACGATTACGCGGCAAAGTATCATCCCGAAGCCAGGAGCGTTACGGTGAGTGCGGCCGATCAAGCGAAGCGGAATGACACGTCGACTGCTGATGCGAACAGGTCGTGCTCGTGCGCGTGCTTCGGACGTTGCAGCTGGTCAAAGGTCTGACCTCGCTGTCAAAAGATGAGCCAAAGCCGCACTACAAGGTGAAGATGTACGACGCAGAAAGGTATCCCATCCCAGGCGGCGGCTTCACCAGCCAAGGCAAAGCTTTTTCAGGATTGCATCACGTCTTTCAAAAATCCGGCACGAGCTTCAAGATCAAAAATCTCAACGTCGCCGCCGTCGATCCCGGGCCGTTGGCGCATGTTCGATCCAGCAGGACCGATTTGGATCACCTCTTTCCCAACAATGATGCGAGCAACGAGTCGTTCGAACATCATCAGGCTTACCTTGGCCACGTGATGAAGGGCAGGACCCTAAAGGCTCCTTCGCACTCGCCCATTCAGGAGCGAAAACGTCAAGCGCCCAAGAAGTCTTTACGAGCACACACGCTTTTCGAATCGACAGCGCCGAATGCGCAGGCCGAGCGGGTAGCTGCCCCTCTTGAGGGACTCCACCCTCAGATTTTGCAATCCGACGCTCCGTCGGCACATACGCAGGCGCAGGCTCAGGCTGGCGTGCCATCGAAGCTCAACAGCATCACGAGAGAAAAGCCGAACAAAGCTTCAGCGGCTCCCGCTCCATGGCGGCAGATAGAGGGTGCGCCGAGCGAGCAGGAGATCGCTGAAGCGCTCAAGGAGAAGCCGTCCATCTTGGAGTCGAGCGTCAGGTATGCGCACGATCCCAATCTCTGGCGATCCCACCCTCGCTTCCTCGGCTTGCACAGGGATAGGGGAAGACCTCATGTGGGCGTGCACAAGGATGGAAAGTGGCTTACAAATCCACGAAAAAAAAGAGGAAGACCTTCCAGGGCGGAAATGATGAGGGGGCTGAATGGCCCTTCCGCCGCTGCTGCTGCTTCTTCATCGCCTTCCTCAGCAACATCACCATCGCGCGACACCTTGCCCGATGAGTCTAGGTCTGGACTGAGCATATCGTCGGCATCGACATCGGGATCAGACTCTCATCGGAGCATGCTCGGACTTTCCGGCGAGCTTAGTCCCGAAAGACCATCAAAGGTGCACGCCTCTTCTGTAAGAGCATCATCTAGCTCTGATCGTCTTGTCGCTCACAACCTGGACATGGTGCATCGCTTCTTTGGGCAACAACACGCGATTGCAAACACAATTCCGACCGATCTGCCTCCTTTGCCAGAAGCTTTGCCTTCCGGCAACACCCTGTACGAGCACGAGCACGAGCACGAGCACGAGCACGGGTATGGGCACAGGCACGGATACGAGCACGAGCACGAGCACTTGCCGCACTGGCGTGCGTCTGTGCATCCTTCACAACAAACATTTCCATCCGAGCACAATGCGATGCACCAGCTGCACACCTTCTTTGGAGCCGAGCATGCGCACGTGCATTTCCCCTTCCAATCCATCTTTGGCACCGAGCACGCGCACACGGATTCGCTGCCGCTGCTCCACCACATCGCCATAGCCACGAATCATGCGCAAGGCGATCCGTCTCGCTCGACAATTGACACCGAGCACCAGCGCGGTGATTCGCATCCCTCCATCTTGCGCATCCAGCCCGCCGCTGCTGCGCACATAAGCCCTCCGCCGCACTCCACCCTTGACACCCAGCAGCACGCGCATGCTGCCACGAGTCCGAATCGCGAGCGTGTTGTGGACGAAGCATACCTCGCGCACTCGCCCGCCTCTTCCGATGCCTCTGCCTCTACGGAAGATTGGATATCGCGCGTTCTCAAGACTCCTCCGAGGATGCACCTGCCGTAGTCTGTGCATTGTGGCTGCGAGCGAGACGCGAGACGGGGAGCTAAAGCTCCAAGTCCGGAAGCGGCGCCGAGAATGCAGGAGAAAATGTTAAGGCGCGCGCGCGGGCGGGTCAGGAATGACGTCGAGATTCACAATTGCACGAATCCATTGCACCATTGTAAAAAACAAAAATCCCATCGATCGATCGCACACCTTCATCTGTGGCAGCAGCTACGCGCGTCCCCGCGAAATTTGCCGATCCCTCTGGCGATCGGCAGTGAAGTGGCTGTCGGCGTAGCAGAGCTTCTTGTCACGTCGACTGTGGTCCCTTCATGCGCTGGACGAAGCTCCCGCATGTTCATGCTCAGTGAACCTGCAGTCCGTCATACAATGATAGTGCCCCCCACAAAGAGATAAGAGCTTCGCCACACCCTCTTCGCGCACCTCTTTCGCTGCCGCTGGGGCGCCACCACGATCAGCAAAGAGCGAGTTCTTGAAAAAAGAGGTGGTCAGTGGGGCCGCAGTCACGCATCTCGCCACCGAGCGAAAGTGTGTTTTGAAGCCAATGAGCGCGATGCCGAAATACGCGTTTGGCTTATCTCGAAAACGTCTTGCATCGTAGCAGACATGAACGAAATGCGATCCGCTCGCGATCGCATTCTCAAGTTCTCCTCGATCGAGCCACTCATCCATCCATCGAACTTTGCGACCGCGACACAAGCGGAGGGATTTTTTTGGGTGCCCGTCTCAGGCCGCCACCATGCTATCACGCTGTCGCGGTGACTTTTTGCTTTCTGCTTGCAGTCTCTGCAGCGGGGCGGCGTATGTGGATGAGAAGTCACGTAAAGGACTGTCGCTTGTCGTAGCCGGTGCTCCCCACAAGATGAGACCATCGCTCTTCCCCTCTCTCGATCATCATGGCGGACCCGCGAGCGACGCGCTGGCACTGCCATTTGCTCCTCGCAACCTCGGTCTTTGCGCTCTGCAGCGCCGTGCCTCTCTATGGCAGTGGTGCACCTGCAACACTGCAACAGTATGTCAAAGGCAGCGTTGACGAATCACATATTGACTCGCCTAGCAAGCAATGGAAGATCGATGCGAGACGCAAGCAAGAACGCATAGAGACGACGGTCGTACGTCAAAAAGACTTGCCCGCTCAGCACCTCATCCCTTCGAATGCAGGTCACCCAAATTTCGACGCTAGCAGCATTCAAAGGATGCCTGGTGCACCGCTGCACGGCGTCCATGGTCTGCACGTCGCGTTTGATGGGGTATACCTTCAAGGCAGAGTGCGTCAAGATACGATCAGAGTGGCAGCTCATCATTACCAGCAGCACTTTCATCCCGATGCGACGCATATGCGCGTGAGTGTGGGTGCAGTCGTCGGAGCGGCAAGGGGTCGAATGTTGATACGAGTCGCGAGCGCGTACGCGCAGGTGTAGAGCTCATTCAGAAAGACGCTCCACGAACCGCTCGTTCATTTGAAGGCCGAGGTGTGGAAGGGCGATCAGATCATACCGGGTGGTGGTATTACATCCAAGGGTGAGTCACCTTTCATCTTTTGCAACGTGGTGAGGGTTCGTACGCTGATGGGAAGAAAGCGCGCAGGCGTGCCGTACGAGGATCATCACATCTTTCTCGCACCAGAGACGGCAGTCAGGAGCAGACATCGTACCGAAAATTTCGACGCTTACTACCGCTCCCCCGATGCGAACATCGCGCGCGCCAGGACCTTTGCGCCGTGGTTCAGAGATGTTAGCGTCACCGACGAGAGTATCGGCAAGGGTAGCTCACCTCCTCATCCTACGCGACCATCGACTCGCTTGTACGAGGACCTGACCAACACTCCAGCAAGCGGTAGGATGCTTCCCGCTTCGCATGACGCTCAAGCCGCGATACCCTCTGCAGAGACCCGTGAGATCAATGTGAGCGCAAGGCCATTATCGGAGAAAGATTACATCGACGTCATTGGCGCCAGCGTCAAGCACTATGCGCAGAAATACCATCCACAGACGACAAAGGTGACGGTGAGTGGCGGCATCGAGTGTCTGCGGCGTGTCGCGGGGAGCCCTGATTTTCGGCTTTCGGACTTCGCGGCGGCCGGCGCACAGATTGTAAAGGGGCTCAACTCTCGACCTGATGAGCCGGTGCCGCACTTTGAAGCTGTGTTGTACAAGGAAGCTGGAGGCAAGAAGCACAAGACCTACACGAAGATTGCAGGCGGTGGGTTTTCGAGCACGGGCATCGCGTACAAGGGACACAAGATCTATCAAAAGCCGGGCACGAGGTTCCTGAGGAATTGGAGGATCATCGATCCGACGGATCCCGGACCCAAAGCGCACGTGCATGCCAGTCGGACCGACTTGGACCGCATGTATCCTGACAAAGGAATGACCATGCGCGACGCTGGCCAGCACTTTAGAGCAAAGCCGATCGGGGACGTCAAGCCGCCGCAGGGCAACAATCTGAACGGACCGCGCGTCCAGATTTCGTGGGATCCCAATCAACGCGCCAAGCACGACAAGACTCGGACCAGGCTAGAAGTGGCTGCTGCGCACGTGGCTGAGGATGAGGCTCCGGCACACCGTATCACCAGCATGGCTCGTCCCATCGCATCTCCCCGATTCTATCTGAGCGAGACAGGCGTGCCGGAGCGGCATCATAGTGCAACCAAGCGACCTAGACGCCAAACAAGGAGGATTCGCATCGAGCCTGCGCGCGTACTTGGCGCGCAAGGAGCAGATGGGGAGCATGCGATAACGACGCCTTCTGGGGGCGCTGGTGAATCTAGCGGTTCTGGGGTGACGCGAGCGGAGCAGACGGGAGACGCACCTTCCGCAGCATCCTCCGCAACGCGAGTTCTGCAAAGTCCAGCAGGAGCAGCAAGCGCAGCGCCAGATCAGACGCACCACCATACCGGTGCGGCGCACACCTCGCGCTGGTATGCAGTGAGCTTCTCCGGCTCCGGGGGAGACGCCGTGGCGTCCAACAGTCCGCCCACTGTCGACTCGGCTGCTCACGCAGCCGCCGCCTCTCCAGATACGGCCCAGACGGAGGGAGAGCAGGCGCACGCACTGCACACTCCAGGAGGGCATGCTCGCGAGCACAGCAACACGAACGACCAGCGCCCTCACTCTGCGTCGCCGGGTGGAGAAGGGCAAGCTGCTGCAACAGTAGCGCAATCAGAGTTGGAGCAGCAGGATTGGCTGCATCGGTACGCTCCCTCGCCTCCTCTCTCCCATCCGCATTCCGATGCACTCACCCGCGCAGAGCGGCATCATTCGAGCGACTTTTGGCATCATTCGCCAGAATGGGCTTGGCGCGTGTTGCCAGCAGCAGCAGCAGCAGGAGCAGAGCTTGAGCCTGCACAGGTTCACGATCATCTTGCCGCGCAGGAGCAGCAACATGCTATAGATGTGCACGATGAGCATGATTGGATCCAGCACCTGCTGCGTACGCCCCCGAGAATCCACTTGCCCTGAGGCGGCGTTCCATCGAAGTCGAGCGTATGGGGGGCGAAATGTATGCATTCCAGATCCACGCCCGCTTTCGATCTGGCGGCCCGCGCGCCCGCGCGTGCGCTAGGACAGTTTCCACGCGCGAACACCCGCAGGACCGATGGTGTGATCCTCTTGCTCTTCTTGCCCAAAGATGCTGATCGCATCGCTCGGCACACCAAGCACCTCTCGCGTCCTCTTGTCGTCGTAGTTGAAAGCAAAGAGCGTATCAGCGTACCTCGCGAGTCGCACGTACTCTCCCAGATCTTCCGATGCGCTAGGTCGACGGTCCAGAACGTTTTGGATGCGCAGACGAGCGGCGAGAGAGGCAAAGAGGGGGATGAGAGAGTTGGAGCGGGCATAGTAGCCTAGGTAGATTGTGTGCTGCGTTGATTGAGTGGGGTAGGCAGGCGTGTGCGTGAGCGTGAGCGTTCTCTGTCGGCGTGAACGTGTGTGTTTGAAGCGGGGGGCTATAGATGTGGGCTGCTGCTACGCACCTTTGCGTCCGACGTGATGTGCTCGCACGAAGCTGCTTCTCCCGCGCGATACGTGTGGTACAAGACTGGCGAAGGCTCGCTAGCTCGCACATTGTCCCGTTCGCACTCGAGCCATTCGGACCACGTATCGACGGCATACGTTGCTGCTGCTGCTGCCCCCTGCTGCTGCTGCAACGAGACGCTATCGTCGAGCCCTTTGCGCAGAGATTCGACGCGCACCACTTTTAGCGGCATGCGATCCCGCAAGGCTCCGCTGGACGGGGCTAGTCCGTGTGGAATGGATACGTTGGAGGTTTTGGATGCTGTGCGAGGACCAAAGACTGCCGTTCCGTTGTAATTTGCTAGGTGTTGGTCGAATTCGGACGAGATGATGGGCCTGCGGGTGCGCGCGCGTGGAGCGCGTGAGCAAAGGGCCTTGGAATGACGGCGCCGGAAGCAAGCCCACACCTCTCACATGGTAGGAACAAGGACGAGCGTGTAATTCGCTAGCGACGTATCCGGTCCGATCACATCCACATCCAACGCCAATCGACGCAGCGCGCTGTACCACTCCGTAAGCAGTTCGGGATACTGGAAAGCGTAATCCTTGAACGTGTTGGTATCCCACCTGCCACCTTGCGGGTTGACTTCCAGCAGCATGGGCGCCGTATAATCCAAGACGAGGGCCACTTTGGGCGTCGTTCTGTTCAAAGTCCATCGCAGGGGATGCTCCTCTGCAGCAGCAGCAGCATCCCCATCCCCATCGCCGCCGCCGGGTCGGCGACTCAAAACACCCTCGCGCTCCATCGCCCGCACATCCCTCGCCGCCGCCTGCTGTTCGTGCCAAGCCGCATCCGGCACATTGTCAGGTCGCATCATGCCAGCGTGCATCTGTTCCTGAGCAAAGGGGACCTGCCTCCATCTGAAGATGTTCGCTAGAGATCCTCCGTGCGCAAAGATTTCGAGCAACCATAGTCGGATCATGCCTCGTGCAGGAGAGGGATTGGCAGGCGCCCAATTCACTGGTCCTGGTTGCTGCTCCATCACTGGCGCGCGCGACGCGTGCAGGGACAAGGCGGTCCCGTCGTTGGCCCAGATCAAATGCGAAATGTGAGCATGGACCCCGTCGCAGCGAGCGCAATGGGCAATCGCTAGCTAACCCCCCCGCTCGCTTCCAACTCACCACCCCATTCGCCGCTCGCTTGACCACGTGCTGCACCAGCTACGCCTCGGTAGCTGTGGGTGTGGGAAAGTTGAGTGGAGCGTGAGCACGATGAGAGCGAGCGAGCGTGCGGGCGCGCGTGCGTGCGTGCCTGTTGCCGACCAGGCTGCATGGGCAGCCAGCCAGCTAGCTAGCTCTTCATCCCTGCACACGCCTCGCCTCGCCTCGCCTCGCCTCGCCTGGTCTGGCCTCGAGTCGGAGTGTGAGCGAACTCACATGGCATGATGCAGGCTCTGCGCATCGGGTCTTCCAGTCCTGGCAAAGGTGATCTTGTCCTGCTCCTTGACCCACGGTGTAGCCTCGGTGTAGCCTAGCGGGTACCTGGATGGCGGATGCGGATGCGGAGCGGGACGGGGCGGGGCATCTATTGAGCGGGCTGCTGGGTGCAGAAAGTTCGAAAAAAGGTGTCCGCCTCGCCCGCCTCGCCCGCCTCGCCCGCCTCGCCCGCCCCGCCCCCTCTTTTCCCTTTTCCCCTTTCTCTCCCTTTTCGCGCATCACACACACGCGCGCGCGCTCCTACTCACGAGTCCCACGTGACGAAGTCGATGCCTGTTCGTTTGGCAAAAGCGTGATGGTCGAATTCGAATGAACCGAAAAAGTTGGTGGTGATGGGCTTGCGTGCGGTGCGAGGTTGGGAGGGTGAGGGAGAGAGGATGAGTGGCGCGCATACACACCCACCCACACACACACGCGCGCACGCACGCACGCACGCACGCACTCACACGATCAGAGTATCGCCTAATGACATCCACCTGTTCGCGCGCAAATTCGGCCACCTGTTCGCTGCTGAATCTCAACCAATCCATGCGCAATGCCGGATTATCCTCCGTCACCGTCAAGCTGGGCGCGCGCACATCCTCGAAACTCTCGTACGCTTCGCTCCAAAAGGCTCTTCCTTGCGCTTCGTTCAGCAGGGCAATGTCGTCCGAGTACTTGCGCGCCAGCCAGCGTTGAAAGGCGCGCGTGGCGTGCAGGTCGTATGTGCGCACTGTATTGTGACAGCCCAGCTCATTGTCCAGCTTGATTGCGCGTGGCGGGGCGGGGTGCGGGGTTGCGGGGCGGGGGTGCGGGGGCGTGAGTGCCGCCGATCACCGCGCGCATCCAATTCCACTGATTGCACCCTCACAGCTCCACTCCATGCAGACTCACCTGCCAAGCATCCACTGCGGGATGCATACCGTACCTCTTTGCCAATGCGCGCGTAATGTTGCTGCTCAAGCTTCTAAAGTGCTGCGAGGAGAAGCTGTAATGACGTCTGCTTCCGAAATGTCTCTGCCTCAAATACTCATCCCTCGGCAGCACATCGTACCGCCGCACCACCCAAGCGGGCGGCGTAGCTGTAGGCGTGCCCAGGATGACTTTCAATCCGTGCGCACGCAGCGCGTCCAACGAGGCATCCAACAAGGTCCAATTAAATACGCCTTCCCTCGGCTCCAGCATGGCCCAATCGAACTCGGAGATGCGGACGTGGGTGATGTTGCTGCGAGCCATGAGCTTCGCGTCAGAGTGCCAGAGAGAGGCGTGCCATTGAGCGGGATAGTAATCCACCGCGAAGCGCGGTGAAGAGCTCCAAGGACGCGCGCCGCGGCGAGAAGAGGAAGAGGAGGAGGAGGAGGAGGAGTCGAGGCTGTCGCTGTCGCTGTCGCTGTCGCTGCGCAGGATCGCTTGCGAGGCTTGTGCTGTGCATGCGACTGCGAGGATGGCCAGGCTGAAGGCGAGCGAGAGGGCGAGCGCAAGAGAGGGCGCGCTGTTGCGTGTCCACATCTTACAGCAGCGCATCATGCTTGGGTGGGGGCTGTGGGCTGTGGGCTGTGATGGATCCAGAGTCGTGAGTGTGGTGCGCGGTGGGTGCGCGGTGGTGGTGGTGCGTGTAGACCAAAAGGGGAGCGCGAATATGCTCATCACTCGCACTCTTTTGAGCTCGCATTCGCGATTCGCAGTCACTTTACGCTCGTCGCACACCCGCACTCGCACTCGCACTCGTGACTCCTCATTGCCATTCACGATTGACATTCGTGATTCAGATTGCACCTCCATCCCATCCCATCCCATCCCATCCCATTCCATCCCATTGCCATCCCCCAAAGTGGAGGGGCAGACAAGGCAAGGGAACGTGCGGTGCGGTTAATTGGGACAGCTTTGCATATGCATGCCCTGCCTGCCCGCGCGTGCCATGCCCTCATCTCCGCGGAGTTGCAAGTCGAAAGTCGCGCGTGACTTGCATATGATGATTCTTGATTGCTGCCGCCCGTGTACTCTGTACTCGTGACTGTATCGTGCGAGAAGGCGGCGCAACCCTTGATTCGGCTTGCACGCGGGCCGGCCGGAGCGAGCGAGCGAGCGAGCGAGGGCTGGCCGGTGCGGTGCGGTGCAAGATGAGAAGCAGGCAGCAGCCGCAATTGTGAATGCTAAGCCTTTCTTCTCAACCGCAAACGCGCATCGCATCCTTTCTTCTCAACCGCAATCAGCGCCGCCAACAGCACAGCACCGCAAACCTCCCCTCCCACGCTCAAGTGTTTTCCCCCCAGCATGTCGCACCCGAGCACATCCGCCCACGCGCACGCATCCGCCCACGCACCTCGGCGATCAAAGAAAGCGACGCAAGTGAGCGCAGTGCTGGACGCTTCACTGCGCTCTTCCCTCGCACACCTCCCCTCGCTGCTGTACGAACCGCTGCTGGCGCGCAACATTGCAGCTCAATCCATCGTGCTGGAACTGACCCGCTTGGTGGGCGAGCGGGAGCGGGAGCGGGAGCGGGAGGGCAAAGATGAGCAGCAGCATGCAGATGCGCACCCGCACCCGCACCCGCACCCGCACCACACAACGACGAGAAGGGATGTGGTGTATGCTGGATGGAGCGGTCTGCCCTCCTCTGCCACTTCCAGCGCCTCGCCTGCACCAGCATCCGCATCCACATCCTCACCCGCACCCGCACCCGCACATCCACCTCTCACGCTCTCCCCGCTCTTGGCAGCATCCTTCTCCCCACCTCTCCAACCGCACGAAACGCTGCACCTGATCCTCTTGCGTTCGCCTCCTCTGCCCATCGCTACACGTCTTCGAGTCACGCCGCTCACGCCAGACGATTGGGAAATGCTGAGCGCGAATGCTGGAATGGTGGAGGAGCACTTGTTGGCACAGGTCAGGGCTGCCAAAACCGGCAGCGTGATACACGTCGCGCTGGGTACGCGCACAGGCGCCCATTCCAGTTGCGCTTTCCACGTCGGTGAGTGGCGTGGCGCGCGCCCGCAGTCGGCCTGCAGTCAACGCCAACGCCAACAACGCCAATGCTAAAACACACACACACGCGTCCGCGCACGCAACCCCTTTCCCCCCCCCCACCACAACCCCGCAGATTCGACGGAACCTGGCAGCGCGGCGCACGATGGAGCTTCTGCAGCGAGAGCTGTGAAATTGACCACAGACACCGAGATCATCGTCGCTCCTCGCGTGCGCAAATCTGCCGCGGAATCGGCAGCCGCAGAACACCACGCCATCCATTCTTCCAACACCGCCACCGCTGGCACTGCTTCACCGAGCTCGTCAGCCAGCGCAGCTGCACAAGCCCTCGCCACGCTGTCCAAGCAGCTGCATCGCATCCTGCCCGCCAAACTCAGCAACAGCAGCAGCGGCAGCAGCAGCAGCAGCAGCCCGACGCCATCCCTTCCTCCACCCACATGCATCTGGGTGAGCAGACGCACAGCCCAGCTCCTCTCCCTCGCTCTAGGCTCCGACGAAGAGGGCACGTGCGGAAAGGCGGCCTTGACGCTGGTCAAGTGTCCCACGGCCGCGCATGTCCGACCGGGTGTGGGCAAGGCAAGAGGGGCAAAAGAGGATGCGCATGCGGATGCGGATGCGGATGCGGATGGACAGGCTGCTAGGCCTACGCGATCGGTCGTCTGGCACGTCTGCGAGCACGTGCTCGATAGGAATGTCGTGCTGGGCAAGGCGGTGCAGCAAGGTCTGGGCGCGCGCGATTGGGAGCTGGTCAGGTGAGCGAAAGGGGAAGGGGTGGGCCATGAGATGCAAGGAAGCTCACACGTGCGCGCGCGCACACACACAAACATCGTGATGCTCCCTCGCAGCTTCTCCTCAGCTTCTCCTGGCTTTTCTTCTCGACCTTCTACGCCTAGCGCAGAGCTGGATGAGCCAGACTTGGTCGTGGAGAGTGACGAGGAAGAGGAGCTGTCTGGGATGAGCGGATTGATGGATCGCGCGTACAGCCATCTCTACACTGCGCTGCGTTCTCAGCGCCTCGCAGCGCTCCAAGCAGGTCGGGGGACAGAGATGAATACGCGAGCCAGCGGAGCGCTTCACGTTACAGGAGCATCGGGAACGGGCAAGTCGACATTCTGTCGATCCTTGTGCCGCTCCATGGAAGCGCACGGCATCGCATCGATCCGCATCGACTGCGCGCACTACTCCGAACTCCGACCAGCGGCTCTGCGCAGCAAAGTGCGCGAATGGGTCAATGCTGCTGCCTGGTGCGCTCCCAGTGTGCTCTGGCTGGACGATGTGGAGCGTGTTTGTCCGGCAGAGGTGGAGCATGCAGAAGGAACGCATGCTAGATTCTCGGCAGAGACGTTGCTGGCTGCGGTGCAGAGGAGGGAGAGCAACGTGCTGCTGCTGTGCTCTAGCAACGGCAATGTGCACAAGGAGCTTGCTAATTCGCACGTATTCAAGTTGACGCTGCAGATCAAGACGCCGGATAAGCAGGCTAGAAAAGAGGTGAGTGGGGCGGGCGAGCGCGCGCGCGCGCGCGCGCATGGGCGTAGACGTGCGCTTACATTCCACCGCTCGCGCCGCGACAGATCATCGGGGCACTGGTGCGTGAGCGATCAGCCAAGATGAAAGAGCAGCAGCAGGGCCAGCAGCAGCAGCACGTTGCGCTGGATGTGGTGCAGCTGGCGGGAAAGACGGAAGGGTACTGTCCTGCGGATCTGCGAGATCTGGTCGAGAGGGCCGCGCACCAGGCTGCTATACGCGTCGCAAAAGTGGAGAGCGAGGTGAGGCGTGACTGGGGCGAGCGCCGCAGTGGTAGAAGCTGACAATACGCCCGCTTGCGGCCTGCGCTCGTTTTTCCGCGCCCGCGCCCGCGCGCGCGCCCCCGCCTCGCCAGACGAGTTTGACGCTTGGCATGTCGGATTTCGATGCGGCACAGCATGGTTTCGTGCCGTTGAATCTGCGCGACGTGAAATTGGAGACGTCCAGCGTAGCTTGGAGCGATATAGGCGGACTGCAAGCGACGCGACAAACGCTTCGAGAGACGCTCGAATGGCCCACCAAGTACGCGGCCATTTTCAAGAATTGCCCGTTGAGATTGAGGAGCGGATTGCTGCTCTACGGATACCCTGGATGCGGAAAGACGCTCTTGGCTAGCGCTGTGGCCAAAGAGTGCGGATTGAACTTTATCTCTGTCAAGGGTCCCGAAATTCTCAACAAGTATATCGGAGCCAGCGAAAAGAGCGTGAGTGGCGGATGCGAGGGGGCGCGTGCGTGTCAAGTCGCGTCGAGCGCTGAATCTCTGGGGGATTTCTTATGTGCCCCACGCATCCAGGTGCGCGATTTGTTCGACCGCGCTCAAGCTGCCAAACCTTGCGTGCTCTTCTTCGACGAGTTCGACTCCATTGCTCCTAAGCGGTGCGTCCTTTGGCAAACGTCCGCAAAAGCGCGCAAGGTGTTCGCACGGGCTGACGCGACTTGTTCGTTTGGCACGCGCGCATTTGTTCGTTCGCCCCCAGCGGTCACGATAGTACGGGCGTGACGGATCGAGTGGTGAATCAGCTGCTCACGCAGATGGACGGAGCAGAGGGACTGGATGGCGTCTATGTCCTCGCCGCCACTTCTCGACCGGACCTGATCGACAGCGCGCTTTTGCGTCCTGGCAGGCTGGACAAGTCCCTGCTGTGCGATATGCCCGACATCGACGATCGATTGGATATCCTGCGAGCCGTGGCGAAAAAGATCCGTCTGCATGCAGAGGTGGATTTGGAACGGTGGGCGAGGGAGACGGAAGGCTTTAGCGGTGCGGATCTGCAAGCGCTGCTTTACAATGCTCATTTGGAGACCATACACGAGGCCGTCGAGCGCGCTCCTAGGCCTGCCGCCGACGGCGGCGGCGGCGGCGGCGGCGGCGACAAGACGGTGGATGTGGACATGGACAGGATCCGACTCGTCGACTTGAACGAAGCGGGCGGGAGCGGGAGCACAAACATCAAGAGCGCAGCGGAGAGAATGGCCCAGCTGAAAAGAGTGCAGACGATCCTCTCCAGCACCCTAGCATCCCGCACATCCCACGCTCCATCACACACTGGCGGCGCTCGCTCGGGGGAAAAAAGTGGAGGAGGAGCGTCAGGCGCCAGCGCCAGCGCCGGCGTAACGGACGCGCATATTTCCAAATCCCTCCGAACCACGCGGCCCAGCGTGCCGGCTTCGGAGAGGGAACGCTTGAGGGGCGTGTATGGAGAGTTTGCGGGAGACGAAAAGGGCGGAAGAGCGGCTAGATTTCCGGATGGGGAGGCGAGCAGGGAGGTGGGGGCGAGGGAGAGCTTGATGTGAAGCGCGTGCGTGCGTGCGTGCGAGGAGGGAGCGAGCGAGCGAGCGAGCGCAAGGCAACCAACCTCCGCTCGCTTGGGATGCGCGAACGCGAATGCGAATGCGAATGCGAATGCGAACACGCCGGACGAGCGTGTCTCTTGTATGCTAAAGACAAGGAGTGCCATCGTGGTTCGCATCACGTGTCTGCACGAGTTGCCGGTGCTGGATTCCGTAAAAGGAGAGGCAGTTGCGGTCGCGGTCGCGGTCGCGAGACATTGCCCCCCATGCATGCATCCTCGACCGATAGACGCGAAGAGAGCAAGTCGCTGTTCACGAGGGGTAGCGCGCAGACGTGCAGACGTGCAGCTAGCAGCAGCAGCAGCGAGCGGTACTCGAGACTTTCTTCTGCGAGGCACAAATCCTACTCGCGACTTTTACCCCTCCTCAAGCCC